CATTCCTACAGCAATCGTTTTCTATCTCAGTTCATCGCAAGTCTCCCTTGATCATTTCCGCGACCAGTTTATTTGCACATATGATATGAATATTAACCAAACGAAAACCAGTGAGGTCATTTGAGAGTAACTATAGGAATGAATGAGTGACTGTTTTTGATTTTTATAAAAAAATAAATAAAATCTTCAGACGGAAATGATAAAACAAGCACAATACAACCCTAAGCAAAACAAAACTAGTATTCACACACATTCATGGAAAATGCTTCTGTATTTGAAATTCATGAATCTGCTGACATGCAAAAAGTAGAGATATAAGGCGTTCTAATTTTTGCACTGGAAATGGTATAAAAATACATATTTTTGTTTAAACATTGGACTAATGCACCCTGAATTTTTGTTTTGTTAGTTTTTTTAAATTTTATTTTAGATCTGGTGATTTTGTCCATGGTATGATACTAATCCTAGCTTTGTAAAATACCAAAACTGACCAGTTTATCTTTTTCTTTTTTTTTTTTTTTATAAATAAAAGTGCCTTGGTGTGCCATAAGGGGTGTAACCAAATTGGCAGGAACATTTCCCCCTTGGTCATCTCTTGAATTCACACTAATTTTTAATTTATAAAATGCACATAGTAAATATTTCAGTTTTATATATGCAGTTTTATAAATAATATATTCTTATTTATAAACCTATAGCTTTATATACGTGATGTGGTTTCAACACTCTGAGGAAAAGATATGTGCGGCAACTGAGCTAGCTAACTGTGAGAAACATCTGTAAAATAGGTTATAATTTGTGGGGGTTTTATTAAAAAACATGGTTCTATATTTTTATATAACAAAATAAAAAAAAAAGTTGAAAATAAGCACAAGTGTGTAGTATTCTAGTATAAAAAATAACATAATCCTTTCTTTCACTCTAAGTAAAAGGCGTAATTAGTCATTTTTTAATTTTAGCACTTTAATAATTTGTGCACTAGACAATTATATGCATTTTATCTTGATGATTGCCGAAAAACTGAGTTTATCAGAGTGAGTCTCATCGTATTACTTGCCAGTTCTTTCTTACCATAAGCCCCCCTTTTTTTAAATACATGTAGTGGTTCTAGACGTTTAAGAATTGTGTAATCCCTGAAACCTTGGACTCTTTTTAGGATCATCCTTGAATGCTGACCATTCACGGACCTTAGTGTTTAGAGGACCACTAATCTAGACACGTGTTTCTACTACAATAAATGAATACAAGCGGTTGTATAAGAAACCATACATTCAAAGAGAATCTTAAATAATGAAGTCCCTTTATTTCTTTTTAACCTTTTAAGTATTGTCTATGGAAAGAAAATCTTCTGGCCACAACATTTTACATTCTTATGACAACCCTCGGTGCTGCTATAACTTCGCGTAGTTCGAGATGTGCTGCTCAAACAAAACCTCTCTGTACTAAGTAGGGGTTATCACAGGCATTCTGTCATACAGAATATTAGGCAGGGTAACAATTTTCTTGTCATTCTCACTTATCTCTGTTATAGCTCAGTTAGGGCTTAGATATAAATCCAATAGTCGTAATCGCAATGGAAGTGGGGGGGGGGAGTAAGTGATTGCAGCATGCTGAGATTAACATTTTGGCTATTTTTAAGAGTCCCTGGGAGGTAACTCTTACTGCATATAAGGCTTAGTGTTCGTTGGGAAATCTGACCTTATCTAAAACTAAAATTACCTTGTTTTGGTATGGGTGCAACATTCTGCTTAAATACATAATTGTTAGTTAACTGAGCACATGAATTAACATTGTACCCTGGACCATGTGAACTAAGCAGCTGTATCATTCTCTACCCTGTTTGAGCCCTGACACCCTGTATGGGAACGGGATGTCTAAACCGTACTGCTATCTAACTGAAAAGTTATGTATTTATAGACCTGTATATTTGACTTAAATATGAATTATGCTACATAGCCAGTACACCTCATCTCATACTCCTGAAAGTAGATGGAGTCACTGAACACAGTCTGCATTAAACAGTTGTGGCATTTTGTTTTCAACATTGTTTTGAGCAAGTCTGAACCACTTTTGACAGTCCTTGGTACGGGGGCGTCAAAACTGTACTGCTATTTGTTAAGACCTACGTATGTTTGTAGACCTGTATATATTTCTTAATTATCCACTGTGCTATTAAAGCAATACAGCTTCATGCTTTACTATCACATTTTTATCAACCTTTGTAAAACCAATGAAAGTGTAAAATAATTTGATTACAATAAATCGTTGCCCTTTATACAGTTAATTTACCCTTTGTATATGTATTCTAATACTTTTTAAATTTTTATATATGTTTTTTGCCTTGATTTCAATTGGATTGAAAATAAAATGCAAAATTTTTTTATTTTTTTATTTTGCAATATTTACATTGGTATACTTTGCAAAAAAAAATATTTTCTTGCACCATTTCACTAACATATGTAAAACATATCCTCTGTTGCTTGCTGTAAGCAGGATGCACCTAGTAATGACAGTAAAATGTTCACTGTTGGCATCACGAGCACGGGGAACTATTCAAAAGGAAAAGGGAATACTCTACGTAACCTTATAGAATAGAATAAATGCATAATGTTAAATTTTTTCATCAATATTAGAACAATACCACTATGAAAGATTATTAACCCAGTTTAGTGCATTTAGTTAAGGACCCCGGCGTTCTGCATTTTGACTGTCCTAGCATATTGGTAAGGACCATGTCTGCAGTATCAACAAACACCAGACATCTGCATTTTCAAGCACAATCTATATTTTGCACAGTTATATAAAATACACACAGGTGACACTATTGAATTGATGGGCAGGAATAGTCCTATTGAATGCACTGTAACCACTACTCCATGCTCTTGCCACAGCTCTTGGCAACCATAAGTTTCATCACCCAAAATTAGCATCGTGCGAAATGGCGAACATCACTGTCAGAACCTTTCCCAAATCCAATTTGTTCGGAATATATTAAAACAACTGGCATTGTGACTTTAAATAGCAATACCCGGCCCTCCTCCAGTTGAAATCACAGATTTGTGTGACCATAAAGTCTTGAACGTAAAGCAAATATGATTTAGATATGACAACTTGACATGTGTTTAATGTTCTGGATGAAAAAAATTACTTTAGTGTATGTTTGTGTAGAAACTGGTTCAAATTCACCTCTGCCCCATTGTGGGATTTTGAAAGGATCAACTTAACAGGAGAGCACCAATTGCAAATGTTATCCGCTGCTCGTTAAAGTAGTTTTATATGACGGTTATCCATTGGAACTCACATTTAACATTTAACTGTATCTGATTGTCAGAGTGTGCCGCTTTGAAAATCAGCTACTACACATTCCCTAGTATTAAGTATCACCGTGACGTGCTCACTTCAAACAAACTGGGCCGAATACTACAATCTTAATAATAGCAGTTGCTGATCTTTAGCCCTACAAAAGCCAGCTAGATGAGAAGGGCTCTGCTGTACAAATCTCATGGATGTCCATCTGTGGTCAGAGAAAAATGGTCTAATTTATTGCCGGGGATGACCATTTGGAACCCTAAACTATTGCCTAAGAGGCATGATAAGTTATGTTGCCTTAAAATTAAACATTTTCTGTAGGACATGTGGAGACATTTATTGGAAATGTATTTAACCAAATTTTCGAACGTCCCAATATCGCATTATCGCATTTATTTTGTACTACGTTTTGCTTTTCCCTTGTCAGTATGTACAATTAGCAAATTGCACAGAATAATTTTTTTGTTTGACACATTTATGCTGATTTATCTTTTTCCTGTGTTTTTAAATGAGAAAATATACCATCATACACAAAATGTATTTACCTGGTGGTTTAGTGGTTAGGGCGCACTGTTTGTTTATTTCTTTGGGGACAAAGTCATCCTTAATTTTCTAGAGGTTGTCATGACTACCTATGTGGTCTGGATGACGTTGGATGTATTTAATTTTCCTTATAGGTGACCGTTATTTATATATCTTTTAAAATCTTGTTAAACCTTGAAAACCAGGTTAAATGTAAAATAACAAAAATGTGAGCTCAATCTAAGGAATAAACTACTAGATAAAGATTTTCTCATACGTGACATTTCCTTAAAAAGGGGTTTATTATCCAACCACCACAGGTGGATCGGCATGTGATAATGAGTGCCATTTGTTGTCATGTGAGGAGATAACTGAAATTGCACTGATTTGAAGAAAATACAGAAAAAGGTCTGTACCTGTACCACACCTTACTTCCTTCCTAATGTCCGGGTATCGGTGTCAGAATGAACATCAAAATGTACCGTTCGTGTTTAATGCAGAATGATGTGAATAATGTATGTGTAGTTTTTGTTGCTGTTTATTTTATTTTTTGTTTTATTACATTATTTTTTTTTAATTCTTAGCACATTTTTGAAATTGAATAAATGTTTGTTGTAGTAGTGCTTGATTTTACAAATTACTGAGAAACATGACGTGTTTGATATGTATATGTAACACATTCTTGTTTTGCACTGAATTGTCATGTTAAAATACTAATACAATTTTGTTTTATAGAACGGTGTGTGTGTATATATCTTTAATACCTTGGTTCGATTGTATTATATTAAATAGTTACATATAACAGGTAATCGTAGATTCAATATTTTAATCCAAATTTTGTCATGTGTATTTAAATTCACTACAATTCTGTGTTTAGTTTATACACACACTGCTTTATTGCTGTCTTCATATTAAAGAAACACTATAGAATCAGGAACACAAACATGTATCCCAGACCCTATAGTGTTAAAAATACCATCTAGCCTTTTAAATGTAAAATCTGTCCAATATATTCCAGTCTGGGGTTTTCTCTCTGCTGTCCATAGAAACACACTGCAATACGATCATTAGATGAGCATGTGCTGCACACACTTGACACTGAGCATTCCAACCATTCAAGGACTCTGCAACAGCACTCTGCGGGTGAGCAACTTTGAGTGGGGATGGTCAGGACGGCTGCATGCAGGCCAGGTCTATACACCCCCTTTCAGCAAGTAAATAAAATTCCAGCACGTCTCACGATTTCAGTTCTCATTCTTTTATATTTGCAGTTCTATCCCTGCCTTTGTCAAGTCCTGGCATCAGTCTTGATTTAATATTTTTGGCAAAGGTTATCAAATTATATATTTTTGGATAAACTTTAAATGTTTTTTTGTTTTTTTTTTCAAATCACCTCCCTTTTGTCCCCTCGCCGGCTACAAAGATGTTTATTATCTAGTTAACAGACTATACCAAACTATACCAAAGTTTTTAGGATCAAGGCACCCTTAATATTTCAATATTTTTCTAAAGCACACCAAGTCAGATTTTTCTAGGTTGTATATCTGTACAGCGCTACGGCATTTACTAGCGCTATAGTGTAATGTACATTGTTGGTGTTTGAAAGGGTGCTTGTATATAGTTTGTGTTTTAATACAGGGGTGTGTTTGTATGTAATGTGCACTTTTAAATGCAGATGTAGATTTGTGTGAATTATTTTAAGTTATCCTTTTGGAGTTTGAATGCGGGGTGTTTGTATGTAATATTTGTGTTAGATTGCAGGAGTGTGCGTGTATATGCACATACACTGTCTTCAGAGGCGGCTCTAGACTTGAGGCCTTAGGCGAAACTCAAACATGAGGCCCCACTAACAAAAAAGTGTCACATATACACATTGAGGCACTGTCTACCTGTGTATGTGCCTGAGAGAGTATCCTTGTGTGTGTGAATGTATGTCTCTGTGAGCATGTTTGCGTTTTTGTCTGAGACCGTATGATGTAATAAACATTGATGTAATCTCACGAGACCATCAGAGCATTGCCGTGGTAACCCGTGGCAACTCTGATTGGCCAGTTTTCGCGAGACTGGTGTCTCAGTGGCTGGCTGGGCAGCAAGGAGGGGCCTTGCACCTGGTGGCATACCGGGCAAGCCACCGGGTGCCCTCCTGGTGTCAGGTTCTCGGTCAGAGACACAGACTGCCCACAGGCGGTTTAGGTGGCCGCGAGGCCTTATGCGGCCTCCTAAACCGCCTAATTAGAGAGCCGCATCTGACTGTCTGACTTACACAGATTTTAATAATAATAACCAAGTACGTCTTGGGGATGTTACCTTAGCCCAACACCCAGGGGTTATTACCCAATTTAATGGTACTCATTTTATCTACTTTGAAGGATGAAAGGTTGAAAGGCTGAGTCAACTGGGATTTGAACCTGCAGCCCAAGAGTTTCTACTGATGATGCATTAGCCCACTGAGCTATCTTACCGGCACGCACAAATTCATATAGATGCACACGCACATGCGCACAAATTCATATAGACACACACATGCATAAACTGACACACACAAACATTGATACATGCACACACCGTGATACAGATACACACACTGACATAAAAACATACACAGGTGCAGATGTTGACACACAGATGTGTGCGCACTGACACATACACACTCATATACACACACAAACACACACTCACTCAAGTGATATTTTTAGTTTAGCTTATCTTATATGTCCAGGAGGGTGGCTTGCTGCTGGTGGGAGTGAGGGGTTTGGAGCAGCTTCTGGAGTGCTCCTCTCGTCTCACGCTGCGGCTGCCTCCTCTCCCTCCCGCACTGTCTCCCTACAGGATGCTGGGAGCAAGTGACAGGTTGTCACTTCCTCCCAGATGGATGACATTACAGGGCCCCTGTGCAGCAGTAATGTTTTCCGGTGCTATATTCATAGCACCGGGGAAACATTCCGCAGCACCTCTGTGTGCCTGTTGTGGTGCCCCAGGCAGTTTGGGAACCGCTTGGCTATACTATACTGTTAATTATTTAATAATGTACGCTAAAAGTCTGCAATACTAATTCTAGATTGTTAAATAATTTAGTAATAATGTTGCTCTAACTTTTTGCTCCAAACCATGTTTAGAATAACATTGCAGTCATTGTTTACAACGCATTGCATTAAGAAATCCTTTGAGACACGAGCTGAAGTATGACATTCTAAGAAACAAAATCGAATTGAAGTTCTTTATGAAATATAATAGTATCTACACGCACAATTAAAAACTGGATTTGACCCATATTTCTGTCAAAAGATTGGAGTGAAGTGTTTTGTTTTTTGTTTTTTCCCCCCCAGATTTTACAGAAACATATGAATTAAACAATTAAAGATATGTAAAGGGAATATAAAAAAAAGAAAAGAAAAAACATCCACAAAGCATAATGCCATTTTCATCTTTTTTTTTACATTTTATTTTATTTAAATCAACATATATAAGCGGTTTGACTTGGATCTCAAATGCAACAAATTTGTCGTTCTGTCACTTGTGGCACTGACATGCTAAGGCTGTGGTGCACTTTAGCACTGGGTTAGGATAATTCACAAGAATAACATTGTTTCACACTAATAGTGTATGGTTCCACATGCAAACGTAAGATTTTTTTTTCTTGATCAGTTTTATAACATATGTCTGTTTAAAGAGACAAACATTTTCTTTTACCCAATATTATTTTAATAGTAAAGATCAATAATTGGGCCTCCTCCGATAACAAACAGATGTGCATCGCTCCGTACTGAGAAATCCGCAGATTCTAAAGGGAAGGTTATGAGAGGGGCATGTTTATTATTTTATCTAGGTTTCAAATTTCTTTTTTCTTTTTTAACCTTTTCTCTTTTCAATTACTTAATTACTTTGTAAAATACTGGAACTGACTACATATTTTGCTTTCCTTTTTCAAAATAAATTACACTTCTTGTCTGAAGTTCTGAGGACTCTGTCCAGTTGATTTTGTTTAATAAATTCTACTGTTGCTTCTTTACAAAACCAATGAAGAATAAGATTTTTTTTTTTCTTTTATAAATACATGCTGATTTAGTTTCTACTTGTTTGTGATTCTTATATTTTTTAATTTTAGTTATTTTTTTTAATCCTTGTTTTGGTGATTGTATTTGTTTTTTATTCTCTCACTTCTTAAACATTAGTTTATTGGTATATTTTTTTTTTCTTTTTAATTTGACTTTATATATTGAATGGTTATATAATGCACGGGTCCTCTCACGCTCTCATTATGCAGTTGATTTTACTAGAGTAATAATAAATGCCACACACTATTTTGACTGTAATTATGTCTAAATTATAACAGCACAGTAGACACAATAAAAACAGTCCATTTACGGAAATAGTTATGGTGTCTTGAGACCATCTCTGCTTCCTCATGACTAACATATTTTATTTTCACAGAACCGGGAAAAGGGCTGGGTATTACACTTCTCATCGCTCACCGTGCTCCGCAATACCCGTGTAGACTAACCATAGTGACACCCACTGCCGACGCCCAGCCGAGAATAGAGACCGGCGGTACAGTTCTGACTATCTACCCAGTTACATGGCGCCTCCCCACATTGGGGGGTAGAATACAATCAAACAACACTTGACCTAACAGACACACACGGCAATAGAGAGAGAGGAGAACAGACACGTTCAACCTTTCGACACAACGAGGGGGTAAACATCCTCGTCCAACTCCTAGCAACACACGCCAGGAAACACAAAAGACACACATCATCTCATACTACCCTTGAACCCATCTCACCCTCCCTGAATACCCACTAACACCCCTACCAACCCAGCGGGGTGCTCGCCTGGGCGCGTCTGGGCTGGCCCACAGGGGAGAGCACGCGACACCCTCGCCATCCTGAGGACAGATACGGTGGGAGTGATACACTCTCAAAACTGTAGAGGACTTAACATACCAGAAAAAAGGTCACACCTTCTGCGCAGCTTCAAACAACAACATGTGTCAGTAGCCATGCTACAAGAAACACATCTCAGACCAGACACAAACAAATTACTCAAAGACAAAGCATACCCAATAAATCACTATAGTAACCACCCAACGTCACGCAAAGCGGGATTATATCCTTGTGCAACAAGAGGGACTCACGTACGTACAGAGAAATGACATCCTCACCACGCCGTGGTCAGACCACAGCGCAGCACAGGCGACCATAGTATCACCCCTATTCAGACCGACTAGAACAGCGTGGCGGCTAAATGATTCCTTGTTAGCGGACGAGGTGACGAAGGCTAAGATTGCAGAACACATAAATTTGTACTTTGAAGAGAGCAGCACTGAAGACATATCACCCATGACGTTATGGGAAGCTCATAAAAGTGTGATCAGAGGCCACCTTATCCGCATGGCTACTCAATGTAAGGAGGAGACCGGTCAGCAAATCAGGGAGCTCACAAGTCAGATCTCCGATTTAGAAACAGCACACAAAATATACCAACACAAACAGACCTATAGAACCCTGATAGCGACCAGGAGGCAGCTGACAGAGCTTCTCGAACGCAGACATGCAAGAACAATACATCGATCACGCGCATTCTTCTATATGCACGTCAACAAGGGAGGCAAACTATTAGCGCAAATGCTGAGAGACACACAGGGCAGGGCACAAGTACACACCCTGAGAACCACGCGCAACAAGACTACACAATTTCACGATTCACGGAGACGAATTCAAAAGGTTCTACACAAAACTGT